GATGTCTGTTGGCATGATTTCTCTTCCCTATGTTGATGCTATAGGGGAGTTAGTGATCATAGTATCAGCACTACATTAATCTGGCTGTGACAAAAAGGGATGCTCCTTAGAGTGGCATTTTTATTGACCTTTACAATCCTGAAAAACTAACTATGTCTTTATGCTACAGCCCACACTGAGGCAAGTATAAAGGGGCATCACATTTATAGGATCTCCTGAAAGTATCACACTTACTCCTGTTACATTAGGTATTCCCCTCACTTATCAGTAGGGTAAGTGAGCCTGGGTAGAATACTGCATTATGCCGCCATACTGCTTTCAGTACTCAAACTAGCATTATGTAGTACAGACAGATCTATAATCTAGTCAACTGCTGCACATAAGGTGCAACGCCCACCAGGGCAGCTTGAATAGAGGGTCATGGAAATGTCCTTTCTCTCATTCACCTGAAGAAGTTCTTATATTCTCAGATACAAATAAAAAATGTGAAATAAAAATGGCACAAGAATGAAAGGAAGTGAGTGTGGAAGGATCCTTGCATCCTCTATTTAAAGCACAATGTTGCCAACTCCAGAGAAGCGTGCTGTTTTTCTTAAAGCTTCAGCTCCTGAAGTCATGTGATATTTTGGACTCTCAGCTTTCACTTTTATAGTTTTTCTAAGCCTTCTTATTTCAGAGAAAAGCTTGAAAGTATTACCCTTAGAAGTTCAAAATCCAGAAATAATTCAAACGAATCCTCATGCATTTTAAATATAATTTTTAAAGATAATCTTATTTATTGGGAGGTCCTGATGCATGCTTTTGAATGCTTGAAGCTGACAATATGGCAATTACAGCATCAGGCTGAATCTTGTCCTAAATACTTTTTAAAATGTGATCTAAGGATAAGCATTCTCCTGGTGCCCTTACTCACCTAACAAGTCTCACTGAAATCAATGAAATTATTCACATGAGTAAGGGTTGCTTGATTGGTCCCTTCTGAGAATACATTATAGGCAGAATAGAACTATAAAAGGAAATGAGAGCAGAATGGTAACAACAAAGAAGTTTCCCACCTAGAAAACACCAAACAGTTAATCTGCACAGCAGGATTAACATTGGGGTTAGTCAATTTTCTTCTATCTGTCATGGTATTTTTATGGACACGAGAGGAATTTTTACCTTACAAAATCTTACCACAAAACCATACTACTGTTAGGAAAGCTTACAATATCAAAAGTAAAAATACAAATAATCAAAACAATAAATCACTTAAAAATATTGCAGGCAGTTTGATAGTTATCGCTTTGTAATGTAACATACTATTCTCCACTGTTATATCTTAACAATATATCAACTGCCTTAGTTCCAATGCTTCATATGAAATATGTCACGATTTATTTTAATTTTTTATTCATTGCTGGTTATTTATTCTCTTATAAGTTGTTCAGTTAGAACAGACTACAAGCAACTTTCCTTTGCTATGAACATTACCTAGCTTTATAGTTACCATTAATTACAGTAATTTATATGCAATGCTAAACTCCCACAAAAGTAATCATTGACATTTTTCCCAGCATATGAGAGAAATATGTTTCACCACAGTCCTACTGAATAAATAACACAATATTTCTTGATATGTGTATTAATGTTAACATATTAATATACCAGTTTATTACTTTTAGAATAAACATATATTAGAATATAGCTAATTGGTAACTGAGTCAAACTAATACCCATATCCTTCCTCTGCAATATTTAGGATTACAGAATCTTTTAAAAATAAATTGCAATATTTTTGTCCTGTACTCACAAGAGGATAGATCGCTAAAAGGGAAAGAAATATTTGTCCTGCTTAAAAATGAATGATAGGGCAGAACCACCAGCTTTCTAAAATGTAAGGCATGTCAGCAAGTATGGAGGTACACTGTGATACTATGTTATTTCTCACCTCATTTCCCAAACAAACCTGTAAGAAAATCCCTGTGGATTTAATATGAAATTAGATCCTTTCTAGTATTTGTAAACCAGCCTGTAGAATGTAGGAGCATGCCACAACTAGATCCTATCTTAGACACTTTTCCATCTCCCCCATCATCACCATGTCTGAGCAACTCATATTGTTTAAGGGTTTTTGCTTGTAGCTGTGTTAGTCTAAGGACATAGGCAGTCAAGGTTCTTTGAGTAGATGTGATATCTTTTATTAGACCAACTGAATTTTATTTAATGCATTTGCTATCATAACACCCTCATCTTATCCATTTTTTACGGGCTGATAACTGGGGCAGAGAGATTAGGGTTCATCTTCTCAAAGGTATAAGGATCGAGGCATAAGCTTGCTCAAGTCATACAGGCAGTGTGCAAGGAAACAGGGAACTAATTCTCATTTTTCTGGATCTTGTGCTAGTGTATGAATCAGCTTCCCATTTTGACCTGAAGGAGCAGTCTTTTGAAAAGATGGAGAATGGATTTTATATTTTGTTTGTTTTCTCTCCCATCCTTCATCAGGTTTCTGTTTAGGTCCCAATCCTGCAACTGAATCCAGTGGTGTATGTCACAGATGTGCACAGAAGTAGAGTCATCTAGGAGGACTGGGGTCATATAAGGCCTGCAAAGGGCTTTGCATTAATTTTATACATTTGAAAATTCTTGCAGACTTACATATGTGCTTCTCTATATGCACCGACTAGTCTCACTTACTTCAACAAGAACTATTCATGTACAGAGATTTTCAAGCAGGAACATAAACCTTAGCAGAATCAGGGCCTTAGATAATAATCTCTCCTGTCTGCTGACCAGGTCTGTATGTAAAACATCGACCACACATTGTACTAAAGTAATATGAGTACTTGGATGACCTGATCAGTTGAACTGTTAGCATTGCAACCCTGTGCCCAGCGTGTAAACCAGAAGAGAGCCAAGAGAATATCAAATGGGCCAGAGGGTTGTATGTAGTGTACATTTTATCATCTAGTCAGTCTATCCATCTAATCTAGGTACTTACAAATCTGTACCAAAGAGAGAGAATAAATTCCTTTCCTTTCTCGGTCTTCTTTAGCTAATCTTCTTGCTTGTCAGATTAATATACTGGCAAGTTTGTTTTCTGTAACCCTTCATATCTGGGTTGTTTTTTCTTCTGACACTTTCTTCAACAGATTATTTCTTTAGCTCTTTTTTTTCCTTTTTTTTTAAAATAATATTTATATTTCAAGGTGGAGGAGGTAGAATACAGCAGCCTATAAATATGTAAGTCGGGAACGTTTCGGATGGTGTACTCAGTTTCAGACTTCAGGACTGATTTAGCTGGAGTATGCACTTATCCAAACGTAACGTAAATTAAGTACACAACTTTGTCCGTTCAGTGGTACTAGCAGCCCAGCCTTGACCAACTCGTCATTTTCAAAACTTAAATGGCAGCCTTGACACCGCTGCTTTGCCTCCAGCATTTTTAGGCAATTAATCAGAGTACGACTGCATGGGGAACAATGGGGCTGAAAGCTACTACACTTTTAAGTCATCTGTGTACTTAACCAATATACAGGTACAAGATGTTTGTTACTGCGTAAGCAGCAGGCAAAACCCTCCCAAACTGGTATTGGAGTTAAGCAAATTATGCACTTATCCAATATGCACCCAAGGGGAATGAACTGTATTTAGGTCAGTGGTACTCCACCTTTTTTAGACTTGCAGCACCTCTCAGAAAATACCAGTTCTTCATTGTCAATCTTTTTTTTTTAGTAGAGGAAAGTAATAGCACAAGTCTTTGCTGCAGCGACCTCAGAAAGACCCCAGCAGGTCAGAACAGGAAACGTTACAGATTCCATCCTGTTGGCGCACACCGTGGGCCCCTGCACCCTGGAAAGCATCTCAAAAGGCATCTGGCTGAAAATCACTGGTTTGGACAAACGCTTGCCTTACTGAATTAGCACAGGAGGACTGGGCAGGCACACAAATAAATACAGGGCCTCTTTGCAGCAAGCCCTGCCTGCCCCCCATACACCAGAGCTTTCCACCTTGTCCTGAAAACATTGCCGAGTGTGAAAAACTTTGCACAGGGGCTGCTGGTGCTTGCAACCGCTCTCACGTGTGTTACATGGGCGGGGGGGGAGCGTGTGTGGACTCAGTGCCACAGCGCAGTGAGACTCAGCCAGGCGCCTCGGCCTGCGCCAGGTGGAGGCGAGGTGTCAGGCGGGGCCCGGCGGCGGCCGCTCTACTCCGGCTTCGCCGCGCACCAGTGCCCCGGGGTGGCGCAAGGCAGCGCCGCCATCCTGCCCGGCCGCGCACGAGGGGCGGGAAGCGCTGCTGCCGGGCCTGC